GCTGGAGGTCGTTGTTAGTTCCCATTTCCTGCAGGAGGATGAAGGCTGAGCGAGACATGAATCATTTCACATAGCGGAATGTTGTTAGGAGTCATCTTATTGCAGTGTTCCTTTAGCAGAACAGTTGTATTTGGTTTTTCAGAGGAGTCAGAATTTCAGCCTCTGCTGCCTTAGAATCTAGCTCTAGGAATCCCTCCTAGCTGCCTTGAAGAAATCAGTCTTGTAGCTTGACATGTGGACATTTTTTTTCTATTTCAAATGACATGATCTTTGGAGAGGCAGGGTAATGTTTCTAACTTTGGGACTTTGTAAAACAGGCTCATTGCAAGGGTTGATAACCTTTCTCAGGATCCGGTTACTCCTCATGTGCTGCTAAACTCACCATGAATTATAGAGGAAAGAACAAACCTGAACAAACACATCAAGCCTTGTCCTCCAATTTGGAACATTTTACTCTGGAACAATACTCCTCCCAGCTGCTTTCAGCACAATCTGTGTTTGAAGGCACAAAGTCCTAGACTCCCACCAGTGATGGAAATTTAGTGAGCAGTTTCTGAGCAGTTTCTAATTTTAGTTGGTTATTGGTTGGTTATGATTAAGAGTGTAAGGCTTACTAGGAGCTCTGGTGTAGAAAATGTAGAGCTTCAAGAAGATGTAGAGTTTTAGGGCCCCATCCTTTCATCTTGGACCTTTTGTGAGTAGCAAGTTACCTGTCTATGAGCATCCCTAGGGGTTGCATATGGGTGTGTTTCAATTTGTTTTGCATTACTAATGTTAAGGGACAAAATGCTCCAGAGTTAATTAGCCAATGGTGCCACCTGGTGGTCCAAGAGTACATTTTGTGATGTCCCCATATCAGTAAATTAATTCTCATTTCTCTCCCTCTTCTCCAGCCCATCTCTAACACTGTCTTTGTCTCTAAAGATTTCCACCTCCTAAGTGCTGAGGTTACGTGTGCGCACCACCACTCCCCTTCTTTTTCTTTCCTGGTTTTGATTTAAAATAGCAACAATAGTCTCTTTGGGGTTTGAGACACACACACACACACACACACACACACACACACACACGTATAAAACAACTCTTTAAACTATGCTTAATTTGTTTAGGCAGGGGCAGGCAATTCATGATGTTACAGATTTAACTTGGCAACTGAAACAACTGCCTGCCCATATGATTCGTGTGAACATTTCTGCAGGGCCAGGCCCCAAATGGGAGATGGTGACCAATACCCATGAGTATGCAGGTCGTCTGTCTAACCTCCTTTGCTGCTTTCACCGCAGCTTCAGCCAGTCCTGGGGCAGCTGGTGGTTTCAGTGCTGTCTGACTCACACTGATCAGTCATCCTCCTCATGGTGCTGCCAAGGTCCCGACTGATTCATAACTGTTGAAGGGAATCATGAATGGAAGCGCAGATTAGCTGCAAAGCTGAATTGTAGAGACCAATATCACATTTTAAAAATTAGCAGGAAGCTGACTTATCTGCATTCCTTCCTTGATTAATAGCTTGTTGTAGTGCTGGAGAGATGGCTCAGCAGTTAAGAGCACTAGCTGCTCTTTGAGAGTATCTGTGTTCAATTCCCAATACCCACATGGCAGCTCACAACTGTGTATTTCCAGGGGATCCCACACGCTTACAGATATGCGTGCAGGCAAAACACCAGTGTATGTGAAATAAAGATAAATAACTTAAAAAATAGCTTGTAGTAGCAACCTCTTTAGTATATTTTCTTTATAGCATTTGTACTCAACCCCTGTTCTTTAAAAGTGCATGTTGGCAGACCAGCAGCCCAATTTGAACACTAGCCCAAACCAAAACCAACTAAAAACCAAACAAACAAAATGCAATTTAGATGCTTATCAGGCTCTTGAAAATGATCCTGAGGTCAGGATTTTGTAATATGCCTGTCTTCTAGGAAGCTTTCTGGGGATAAAGAAATTATTCCATTTGTAGATAGAATCTACTACTGTATAGATGAACAAGAACTGGAAAAAAAAGAAAAAGAGAAACTTGCCATAAGTCTGACGTTTAAGTAAATTTGTTTCCCTGTCCAGATTCTTTAGCTAACTACAATCTTAAGAAAAACCACTTGGGTGTTAAGAATATCTATTAAAAAGGGAAGTCTGGGCTGGCAAGATGACTCGGAGGGAAACGTGCTTACTGTTTTGCCTCATGACCTGAGTTCAGTCTCAAAGCTTTTGGTAGTAGGAGAGAATGGGGGCTGGGCGTGGTAGCACATGCCTTTAATTCCAGCACTTTGAGTCAGAGGCAGGTAGATCTGTGTAAGTTCAAGGCCAGCCTCGTCTACAATTGGAGTTCAGGACAGCCATGGCTACACAGAGAAACCCTGTCTTGAAAAACCAAAGGTAAGGGAGGGAAGGAACAAACTGGCCCTTAGAGTTTATCTTCTGACCTGCTTATGTACATCACAGCATGCAAATGCCTCACACAAGTACAAATATAACAAACAAACAAATAAATAAATGTTAAAAAAAACAAAGGATAAGTTTGTCAACCATAACAGTTGTTTTGTTTGCTTTTGAGACAGGGTCTCACTGTGCTGGAGGGTGGCCTAGAATTCATTAGCCTCCCCCCTGTGCAGGAATTACAGGCATGACCCTATACAGTGTCTCAATACTGGCACTTTTAGCCATAGAATTGTTAAATACAAACTCATTGAACGTGGCTTGTATGTGGGATGCATTTTGAGTCAAGGTAAGAATAGCTTGTTTTGTTTTATTGAGACAGAGCTTCCCTCTGCCACTCAGGCTAGCCTGAAATTCATCATGTCATCTAGGCTAGCCTTAGATCCCTGGCAGTACTTTTACTTCAGGCTCCTGGGCTAGAGTAGCAGGCACAAGCCAACACACCTGGCTTAATAAGCATTGTCGAGCGGAGGCTAAGCATAGTGTGTGAGCAATAGATTTCAGTCATTTTTTGTGATTTTTTTTTTTTTCATATTTCATCAGAGGCATTCCATGCTCTGTGTTTGGGCTGCCTTTAGTTCTAAATTTTTAGTGACCTACCCTGGCAAGATGTAGGTACTGCCATGCCTCAAGGATGCTTACTATGGTTATATACAGCATCTTAGCAGGTTTGTACTACCAGGCTGGGTAATTAGAGTGTGTATATCCAGACTCCATGGGCCCTTAGATCATTATCTCAAGATTCAGGAAGTTTCAACACTTTGAGTTTATCTGTTGTTACATTTGGAAAACCACTACTAACATCCAAGTTTCCATATTTGCTGTGAGCACATCTTCTGCATGAATCTACTTCAGCATGAATCTCCATGCTAAAATTATATCTGTTCATGATATTGTTAAACTGGGTCTGATATGCCAGTTTTCTACCATGCTTTTCCTCCTATCATTTTCTGCACTTCTACAGGCGTTCTAGTTCAGCCTTTATTGAGAATGTGCTGGGTGTTCGTGGGTAATGGGATATGAATCTTACAAATAAGAGAAGCATAGAATAACTGTCATGTCATGTTCTGTTCAAAGGAGAAAACAATGCTTTTAAATAGAAAGGTTTATAGGAGAGGGGCATCTCAGAAGAGCCTTAAACTATCAGTTGAAGAACAGGGATGTAGTTTAGTGATAGACCATGTCTGAGGCCCTGGAGTCCATCCCCAACATTACACACACACACACACACACACACACACACACACACACAACTATCAAGATGGTGAGTCAGATTTTATATGCCAAGACAGAAGAAGGAATTAAAAAGGAAAGCAGTTAGTGACAGAAATCATGGAGCCAGGAAATATATGGGAATTGTTTGAATTGTTCCCAACCAAATTTGGGTTGTGAACAAGGGGTCTGGTTTAGGTAATAGCAAGAAAGTCAGAAAAGTAAGTAACAGACCATGTGGTAGGGGATAGTAAATTCTAAAGAAAAAAGTTGGATGGATAACAAGGACATCCAATATTTCTCAACAGAGAAATAACTGTTGTGTGACATTTTTTTTATATTAAAGAGTTACCAAATAGAACCTTTTCCCATAAGTCACACTATACCATGTTTTTTATGTTGTTTACATACTGTCTTCAGCTAGCCCAGGGTTTCTGGACTTCAGCCACATTGAAATTTGGATCATCTATTGTGAGGCTGTATCAAAGTTGAATCCCTAACCTCCACACCAAATGCCAGTAGCGTCCCCTCTCCCTAGCTGTGACAGTAGAAATTGTCAGCAGACACTGTTAGATGTCCTCTGAGGGCAGAAGTCTGCATTTGGAAAGTACAGGTTTAGAACACGTGGGGAGTTACTTTGGTATTCTGAGTACTGGTAGATTCTTAGGTTGAGAAATCTGTAATTTGGGCCTTCAGTGTATCAGTGCCTCGAGGTTCAGTATTAGATCTTGAAGTTAAGGTATTTCATGTGTGGTGGAGTAAACATTAGGGAACCTGGATTGCGTTCTTTGACCCGGGGACAAAATGAGTTTTATGACTTGGTCATATGATACTAAACTTTTTTTTCATGGTTTTTCTTTGGTTTGGCAAGCTCTCACTGTGTAGCTCAGGTTGTATTGGCCTCAAACATTAGACACTCCTGCCTCCTGCTTCTGGTCAGAGGTGAAGTTATAAATGTGTTCTCCAAGCCCTGCTGATTTCTTACCTCAATACTTATAGCTTTCAGTCTGTGGGTCTCAACTCTTTCACAGAGGAACTCCTAAGACTATCGTAAAACACAGATATTTTCATTATGATTCAAATCAGTGGCAAAATTACGGTTATGAAGTAGCAATGAAAACAATTTACGATTTTGGGGTCACTGCAACATGAGGCACTATAGTAAAGGGTTGTACCATTAGGAAGGTTGAGAACCACTCTCTTATACAGTCTTTGCAGTTCTGGTTTTGTACACCTGATTGCAGGGTTTTGTTCTTCTACAGTTGGGCTAAACATAAAACTGAAGTATTAAATTAAAAAGATGAGTTAGGGATTGTCCATACTGCATTGTTCTAAATACTCTTGATTTGTTTCTTTTCTAGATTACTTAAAGAACCTTCTAGAAGGCTCTGTAGATCACAGAGACACAAAAGGTAACTAACCTTTGCAGTCTTACCTTGTGTATTTTGTTTACTTAGTTAAGCCTGGAAAGGAAAGATACACTAAGAACAAAGCCCTTATGTGAAACCTGATTTTAAAGGTTCCCTTGGGCAGATGAAACTGGAGCTAGGGGAAGTATCGGCGGCAGGTGATGGCAGTCACAGGAGACCCACAGGCTGGCCTCCAGGAGAGTGGATGCGCCTGGATGCTTCCTCAGGAAGCCCCTTTCTTGTGTGTACCATCACTGCTGTGGTGTCCATGTTCTGTCTTTCTGAGCCAGAGACTGAACCAGATGATTCATCAGGTCATTTCAAACTTGAAAGTGAAGTGACTGCACTGCAAGACAAGGATAAAGTTTAAGCCAGGCACAGTGACACACTCATGTAACCCCAGTACTTGGGAAGCTAAGACAGGAGGATCTCCAATAGTCTGAGGCTAGCCTGGGCTGTGGTTAACACCCTGACTATAAACGAAGCAACCCACAAAAAGATAAAATCTAAAGTATCTGCCGAAGTATTATATTATCCTTTTCTCCCTGCCTTGACATCTCGGAATAACTCTGGTTAGGGTTTCTGTTTATTGCTCATATTACCTCTTCAGGTGTCATAGGCTTATCTTCAGAAATTTATTAAACAAGTCCATGTCCACTCCATTAATTTATGAATTTTGATCATATCCTTATGTATTCTATATAGCTTCAGATTTAAAACTTGAGTGAGTTTGGGGGCTCAGTGGTTAAGAATACTTATTCTTGCAGAGGACCCAGGTTCAGTTCCCAGCACCCACATTCTGGCTCATACTCATCCATAACTCCAATTCTAGGGGATCTGATGCCCTCGTCTGGCCTCTGCAGGCACTAGGCATGCATCCATTGTACATACATGCAGGCAGAATACGCATACACGTAAAATATTTTTTTAAAAATTGAGCTTGTTTCAAAGCTATTTTTAGAGATTTATAATTATTGTTGCATAATCATTTTATGTCTTCTCTAGCTTCTATTTGTGTTTTGTTGTTTTGTTTTTTGTTGGCTTGGCTTAATTTTTTTAAACAAGTTTTAATTGTAGCATAGCTTGGCTTAAAAGTTGCTTATAGCCAAGGATGACCTTGAACTTCTAGTCCTTCTGCCTGTACGTCCTAAGTACTGTTGTTACAGATACTTGCCACCAAGTCTTGCTATTTTGTTCTGAGGAAGAATAGCCTTGAACTTATGATCCTTGCCTCAGCCTCTTGAATGTGGGGTTTACAGGCCTGTACCTCTACTCTCAACTTATGTCTTTGATGTGGTTGTTCGTGATACTATAAATTCAATTCGGGACACATGCTAAGCAAATGTTCTACCACTGAATGATACTCATAGCCCAGAGTTATTACTAGCATTTTATTTTAAAAGAAAAGTTTGGGGGCTAGAGAGATAGCTCAGTGGCTAAGAGCACTGCCTTCTATTCTAGAATTCCCAGTATCCACATGGCAGCTCACAACTGTCTGTAACCACGGTTCCAGGAGACGTGACACTTTCATACAGACATACATGCAGACAAAACACCAATGTACATATAAAAATAAATAAATCTTAAAAAAAAAAAAAGTTTGAGATTGCTTGAATGATGTTCCATGTCTTCAGTAAAAGCATTGCTCCAGTTGATGAAGAAACTTAAAATCACCATCAAATAAATAATACAGGCAATAGCTTTAGAGTAAGAATACTCAGCTGTACAGAGTTATTTGGGAAGAGAAAAATGTGATAGTTGTAGAGGCAGAGAAGATGGCTTAGGGAAAAGCAGGACCCTAGATGAGCTGGAATAGGCAGGATGAAGAATAGGCACTGCTGACCTGAGGTTACTTCAGCAATACAGTGTTCACTCAACATGCACAAGACTTTGGTTTGTTTCCCAAGACACCCCCCCCCTACCCTTTTTATAGTGACCTTGGCAAACAGAGTCCCAAGAGACCTCTGTCCCACATCTCAGGACTTCTGCCTTCAAGAAAGTAGTCATTGATTCCATAGGTGAAGCAAGTAAAGATTTCAAGATGAAGGATCTCCGTCCATGGAGTTATCCACTTTCAAAGAGGCACAGATTAGATAAGCAGTGAACAGTGAGATGCACTGTGTGCTCAGAAGCAGAGCTGTAAATGGTGCAGAGGGCAGCTGTGGATTGGACTGTACTGGGGTGAGAGAAAATTAAGCAGATAGGTCTTTGAAAAATAGCCAGTCTTAAGTGGTAGAGTCATCAGCATCTCTTAAGGAGGTATTCATGTGAAGATAGTGTCAGGTGCATACGTTCTAGCATGTGGTGGGGTTTGCTATGTAAGGAAAGCCTACTTTCCTTGAATAACAGAGATAAGGTTGGGAGTGTAGCTCAATAGTAGAGCCCTAGCCTAGCATGAATGAAGCCCCAAGTTCCACCTCTAGCCTCTCTCTTTCTCTCTCTTTCTCTCTCTCTCTCTCTCTCTCTCTCTCAGAGTTTTTAAGTAATAGTGAAGAGAACACATGTTTAAGGGTTGGTACTATAAAGAGTACCCAAAACCAGGCATGGTAAAACACCAGCATTCAAGATAAGGCCAACCTTAGCTACATGAGAAATAGCTAGAACAAGGATTTAAGGCCAGCTTTGGCTACATGAGAAATAGCTGGAACAAGGATTTAGGCCAGCCTTGGCTACATGAGAAATGGCTCCTTTGTTGCTGAACACTTACTTACATAAAGCTCTTGGAGAACATGGTTTCCCCTTTAATGTTTCTCCTGTTTGTCTCAGAATGTCCCAGTCATATGTGCAGGGTGAGCATTTTTGTTTAGGTTAGTGACAGTTAAAGGGTGTGAACTTCTCTGCCAGTGGGACGTTTCTTGTCATTGTGACAAAGTATCCTTATACTTGTTCTTTATGCAATATTCTATCTTGGATGTGACACAGCCACATCTCCAGACAAAAGACTTAGCTAGGTGTGGTAGTACATGCCAATAATCCCAATATTACCCCAGCTGAGGCAGAAGGACAGCTTGAATACATACATACTTACATACATACATATATGCTTTTATTTGTAAGTATAAATATTCTGTGGTTAGAACATTTTAAAATGCTTGTGAAAGGCAAAGGACTAGTACAAATTACAAACCAAAAATTGTCCCATGGAGCTAAATCACCCAGCATACAAACTGATGCTTGAAGAGTCTATGCTAAGGTCTGTTTTATTTCTGTGTGTTTTATTCTCCCTCCTTCCCATCGCCTTTCCTCTTGTCCCTCTTTTCCTTCTTTCTCTATTGAGGATGAAGCCAAGGTCTCCCATTTCTCTTATTTCTAATTCACATCTCTTTAAATCAGTCTCCTAGAGGAAGGCTGAACCCCAGCCCTCTTCTGCTTTTTTTTTTTTTTTTGAAGACTTTGGTTTATTGGTGTTCAAATTGAACCAGGGCCTTTGGCATGTAAAGTACATGCTATATCACTAAGCTATATCACTTCCAACCTCTCACTCTTTGTTATTTCTCATAAGTCCTGCTTGCTTTATCAATCATTTCCCAAGACAGTTTATATTAGGGAAGACCTTAGCAACTAGGTAAAATCCTGTTCTTACCCTTGTAGCAGAGTAATCGTATCTCAGCAAAACCCAGCCAGCCCTGACACATGATCTGTGATCTCCTTAGGGTCTGGAACTCGATTTGTTCATTATTTATTTTGCTTTGTTTTTGCCTGTTTTTCTCTGCTTATCTTCTCACTGAATCTTAATGTCTATAGTTCTGGCTACTCATGGGCAACCAAGGTTCTCCCATGTTTTAGTTTCTGTGTAGTAGGTATTTTGTCAGCCAGAATTGCGTAATGTTGGGAATGTGTTTGCCTCATTGGTAATGACCAAATGCCCTTTCTATTCGTGTACATTTTAGATGCCCTAGCAGTTGTGATAGAGGTAGCTAACCATGCCAATGACACCATGAAGCAAGGGGTAAGTATCTGGGAGTGAAGGGCTGTACACTGTGGAACCTGGAAGCCCAGCCATCACATGCTCTGCATTGTCTTCTGTAGGACAACTTTCAGAAACTTATGCAAATTCAATACAGCTTAAGTGGACACCATGAAATTGTGCAGCCTGGGCGGGTAAGTGTTTTAGAATGCCTTCTACAGTAATACAGTGTGTCTGGGTACTGACTATAGCTATTTTTATTTTAGTTTTGAAAATGAGTTATGCTACTCTTCACTGACCTAATACACATCATTCTGTCCACTCAAAACAGTATGATGTAAGTCTCGGTGACAAGCAGTCCAATTCAATTAGGAGAGAGGCAGAGGACCCCATGGAGTTCCAATTGAGTGATTTAATGGGATCGTTTAATTGTGTAATACCAACTGAACTCACACAGCTTTGAAGGCAATGCCATCTAAAATCTTTAAGCCTGGAAGGGAACAAGATTGCTGTTTCGCTGCTCCTCACAGAGCAGGGAAGTGGTCTAAGAAATGGAGTCAGGGAGATGCACAGTGTCATCAGGCTGTTACATGTGCTCAGGATCAAGAACACACAGGCAGCTGTGTCAGTCTACTGAATGTCCCCGGGGCTAGCACAGGATTTATGAGACCGATTGTCATGCCTAAGTACTTTTTAAAATTTCTTCATCATTTTTGGCTTCTTTTCCTTTTTATCTTTTTAAAAACAACAACAACAAAAAAAAGTTGTGTGTGTGTGTGTGTGTGTGTGTGTGTGTGTGTGTGTAGGTCAAAGGACAATTGTTGGGAGGATGTTCTTTTACCATGTAGGTCTCAGGGATTGAACTCAGGTCATCAGGCTTTGAAGCTATTACTTTTACCTTCTGAGCCCCCTTTTCTAAAGTATTTTTTCATATTTTTATTTATATATTTTAATTTTATATTGATATTTTATATTTTTATGATTAAAATATACTTATATGTTTTAGTTAGATTTTATTTATATACAATATACTTCTATATGGTACATAAAGTATAATTTTATATTTAATCCTATATAATTAAATATGCTCTAAATATACTTATTTTTGTATTTTAATGTATAATAAAATATTGTGTTTTATATTTTTATGTTTCATATTTATATTTGATTTTATAAGACAGAGTCTTATATAACACAAGCTAGCCTTGAATTTACGTTCCACCTTGCAAGGGCTAGAATTACAGAATGGCATACTGCCTCATGCCTGGTTTGTTGAGGTGCTAAAAATCAAGCCCAGAGCTTCAAGAATGCTATGCAAGGACCCTTCTAACTGAGAAAACTGCCACCCTTTTTTCTCTTAAAAAATACTTATTTGTTTATTTTTATTTCTTGCATGAGTTTCATCTACCTGTGTATGACATATACCATGTGCCTGCAGTACCCTCGGAGGCAAGGAGAGGGTGTCAGATCTCCTGGAACTAGAGTTACAGGCAGTTTAGAGCTTTCCTCTGCAATAGAAACTAGTAATTTTGCTCAGTAAGCCATCCCTCTAGCCCCCCCTCCCCCCGCCTTTTTTTTTTTTTTATCTCATTTTTTAGTCATTTGGAGGGTTTATAAAGGAGCCATGACTGTAAAAGTCACAAAGAAGCTATGTCTCCCAGGCTCCCACAGAAACAGTTCAGGGAGAAGAATATTCTATGTGTATTGTAGTCACATGGTGATGGTAGGACTAACTGAGTGTTTGCTTGGATGGATTAGGTTTTTCTCAAAGAAGGCACGCTGATGAAGCTGTCTCGGAAAGTCATGCAGCCCCGAATGTTCTTCCTGGTAAGAGGGTCTGTGTGGTTTGACATGTCTAGGTGGACATGCTTAGTGGAATGCTTATATAACCAATAAATGTGGTGTATTCAAATTGCAGTATAGGGCAGCTATACTGCTTGTTTCAAACACAGGAAATGGTGAGATGTTATGATGCTGGATGAGATTTTTTTCTCTTAGGATTTAGTTTCTTTTACTCATGCAGATTGTAGTTTTTTAGTGTGATTTTGAACCCATGAAACATTAACTCTCTAATAGAACCTGGATATAAAACACATTTCCTTAGAAACTTTCTGAGAAGTAATCTTTTCCCTTTATTTCTGTGTGATATTAATACCTTTGTTGATAAAATTAGTTCCTGTAAGTGGCCTTGTGATGTGCTTCTACTTTTAGTTTAATGATGCCCTGCTGTATACAACACCCATGCAATCTGGGATGTACAAATTGAACAACATGCTCTCGTTGGCTGGAATGAAGGTTGGTGTGCATTTTACAGCTTTCATTTACCCAAACACATGCAGAAGACAATCCCCAGGTAGTCATCTTTCTCACACCCTCCCTTTTCTGTTTCTGTGTGCTTCTGCTTATGCATCTGTTCATGCCTGTTAGTGGTTTACTCCTGCATTAATTTATTCAAGGGATAGTTATTGAGAATGACTATAAACAAAACTAATAACAGATTTGATAAAAGGAAAAACATGAGGATGAATTAAAGGATGATTCATTTTGTCTCTGCTTCTTCCCAAACCTTCCTATGTCCAGGAGACTTTTCAATAGTATACACACAATACCTTTTAATAGACAGTATGAAAGATCACTATAAAGACACAGTTAACATTTTTAGGAGTTCAAGGTGAGTGTGGCAGCGTGTGCTTTCAATCTCGCCCCTTGGGAGGAGGAGGCAAGTGGATCAGGAGCTCAAGGGCTTTCCCCACTACATAGTGAGTTTCAAGCTAGCTACTTGAGACTCTGCCTAAATATAACATAAATAAATAATCAAATAGATAAAAACAAACAAACATATAAACAAATGGAATTTAGAGCCAAAAAGAGATTTGTGATGTTTGTCTTTAATCCCCAGTACATAGGAGGCTGAGATAGGATGATAATTTGAAATCAGGAGTTCAAGACTACCTGAGGCAGCGTAGTAGGACTGTCATCTCCAATATATATGTTTCTGTGTGTGTTTTGTGGGGTTGTCTTAGTTAGGCTTTCTATTGCTGTTAAGTGACACCATGGCCACTGCAACTCTTACAAAAGAAAACATTTAACTGAGGTAGCTTACAGTTCAGACGTTTAGTCTATTATCATGGCAGGAAGCGTGACAGCACACAGACAGACATAGTACTAGAGAGTAGCTGAGAGTTCTACATCTAGATCAGCAGACAGCAGGAAGAGAGAGTGACATGGGCCTGGCTTGAGCATCTGAAAACTCAAAGCCCACCTAGTGACTTGCTTTTTCCAAAGGCCACACCCCTAATAATGCTGCTCCCTGTGAGTCTGTGGGGGTCATTTTCATTCAGTCCACCACAGGAGTCTTTTTAAAAAGCTTGGTTTGAGATTTTGCCTTTATTTTATTTCCCAGGCTGGCCTCTGTAGTCAAGGCTGGTATTGAGCTCCTTATCCTCCTGCCTCAACCTCCCAAGTGCTGTAGTCATAGATGCTAGCAACCATGCCAAACCTTTTATGGTTTTATGAGTTAGAGTTCACTCTGTAACACAGGCCGACTTAGCAATCAGGACACTCTTCTGTCTTACCTCCTTGAGTGCTGAGATCACTGTTGTGAGATGCCACAGCCAAGAAGAATGTGTGCCTTTAATAGGTGTGGTGAAGGGATTGGTGTGCTGATTTTGATAGACAGCTGGGAAATGGCAAGTGCTACATAGCGAGACCCTTTCCCAAATAGAACACAAAGCAAAAACCACCACATGAGAGAGAATCCGGGAAGTCTTTCTGGAGAAAGACAGTGAACCTTAATATATTAATTGTAGCCCGCCATGCTGGGACACTGGGAAAAGGTATTCCGAAGAGTGAATGTTGTGACCTAAGGCTTGGAGATGGGGCAGTAACTGCCTGTGGGTATTTAAAGTTGTCTAGAACAGAGATGACAAAGCATGGCAGTAGATAACGCTGAGTGAAGAGACTGGCTGTGGACAGCATTCTCCAGGGGATTGGGCAGCTTCAGTTACTGTTTCCATGTTGGATTTGTGGCATTAAGTTTGTCTGATATCTGTACCCTCTTCCAGGTCAGAAAACCTTCTCAAGAAGCATATCAGAATGAATTAAATATTGAAAGTGTGGAACGTTCTTTCATCCTCTCAGCTAGGTAAGTGTGTGTGTAGTCATTACATCCACATACATGTACACACACATATATTGAAAATGACATTCTGGTTGGGCAGTGTTGGCACATGCCTTTAATCCCAATACTTGGTCTGGTCTACATAGTGAGTTCCAGGACAGCCAGGACTACACAGATAAATCCTGTTTCGAAAAAACTAAAAGCAAACAAATAAAAAGAAAAGGCATTTTGCCAGGATAGCACACTCAGGCAGGGCATTGATTCCATTGGAACTGGAGGACAAGTGTTTGTGGAATTCTGAGCTTGCTAAGTGGCCCTCATGATTGCTCAGCAGGATTTGTTACTACGACTGAGCCATCTTCTTAGCCCCTCAGGATCCTTTTTTCTGACAGCATGTGCTCTCTGCCATATTATTTCTGTAATCTGACAATATTTGTTTTTCATTGTTGTATGTTTTCATGATCATTGATGTTAACATTTAATTGGTTTTGGGTACATGCCACACTCATCCTGAACTCCTAAAAATGTTAACTGTGTCTTTATAGTGATCTTTCTTACTATATGATGTTCAAGTTAATTGAGAAGTGTGTGTTTTTCTGACTATAAACTGACTGTTTCCCTGTATTTTTTCCCTCTTCCATGTCCTCCCTCCCTATTTTCTTACACAAAATAACCCCACAATGGCCTATAAGTGTCCAACCAAAAGAAAGAATTACACATTTCTCTCTCACTTTAAATCAGAGATCAAAGTTAATAAGGAAGGTATGTCAAAAGCCCTGACAAACTGAAAATTAGGCATTTGGGTCCAGTTGGCCACATTGTAAATAGAAAGGAAAAGTTCTTGAAGGCAATTAAATGTACACATGGAGAAAAGCAGCCTTACTGTTTCATGATGGATGTTGAATAGTGTGGATAGAATACGGAACCAGTAACAGCATTTTCTTAAAACAAAGCCTAATCTAGAGCAAAGTCCTTTTCAATTGTGTGAAAATCAAGAGAGGTGGAGACAGTGCAGCAGAAAGCCTGGAGCAAGCAGGGGCTGATGGTGATCTCTGTGTTGTGTCTGTGAACATGCAAGCAGGGGTGAATGGATAAAGCAGTGGGTGCTGACATAGAAGCTACAGTGGGTTACCCAAAAGACGTATCTGAGGGGACTGTAGAAGGCAGCCGTGCCAGCCAACAGATCTACAGAGATGGGCACCTAGAACCTAATAGTTAGAGAGAAGTCAGTACCTGGCTTCCAGCCTCTGTCTCCTTGCATGATACCCTACTCCACATCTCCCTGCCTTGTGTAAGGGTCTCCTCTACCTGGGCTTCATTACTTCGGTCAGTCAATAAAATGGAGCTAAGCACTGTGCTAGGCATAAGGTAGAGTGGATGATTAAAAGAGCTTTTCTTCGCTAAGCGTGTATTCAACCAATGCAGATGTGTACTTAGCAGAAATTAGCCCAAGTAAAGTAAGTAGCATTGTAATCAAGTAGACTACAGGAAGAGTTCTAATTGCTTGAAGCTATTAAGCAAGCTAGATTTAGAGGAGAAAGGACCTGGAGACTGTCCTTGAAGGCTTGTTGCGGACGCTGACTTAGGAAGGGTAGATGTTGGATAACTAGGCAAAGAGAAAAGGAGGAGCCTTCTGGTACTTAGGAACAATGACAACAAAGTTTCTAAGGTGAAAAGGAGCCTGTAGTAAGAGGTAGGAAGGTAAGTTTGCAGAGCCAGGTGAGTCAGTATGCAGAGACATCCAGTAGGTTTGGCTCTTCAGCATAGGAGCCATACGAAAGCCACATCACGGTTTAGATCAGAGAATGGTGTGATCAGAGAATGTTACTCCTTTGTGGACAATACTCGGGAAGAAGGTGAAAGAAAGGATTATTCACCAGGAGTTGACAGGCTATGTGGACTGTAGGGTGGTGATGCCACGCCATTCGCTGGGATGGGTAGCACTTGAAGTAGATCAGTTTAGGGTAAAAATGAGGGTTTGGTGAGCACTGTGAGCACGTGGGATATCAACATGGAGCATCTGGCATGCAAGGATCCCAGTGTCAGAAGGAAGACTATGTTGGGTGCATATATGTGAATGCCATCATCTCGGAAATGACCAAAGACTCTTGTAATTCTTTAGTCACTGTCAGCCCCTTTGCACGCTTGCCCTGCCACCTAAAGAAAAGTGTTCCCTTCTATGCTTGTGTTATCTGCTAATTACTTTCTCACTACAGTAAGGTGTGAGCTCAGATGAGGCATATTTTGTATGTCTGGTTCACAGCTTAGTCTCTAACCTATAGTAATTTCCCCGTAAATATAATTCGGAAGAGTCACAGTAATACTGCCTGTACACATCAGCATTGTACCCTGCAGTCAGCATAAACATGGGTGCAGCAAGGTCTGATACAACAGAAATCCCTCACAGTAATTCATTGCAATTGAGAGGAAAATAATTTCAACTTGGTAAAAATTTATCTTCTGATGTGATACACTTCCTACAAAACACAAAGTGGTCAGCCTGTTTGTCAGTTTAAGGAAGATGTGGATTCTTCTGCTGATCATGTTACAAAAGGCCCAGGGTGTCAGCGCTGGATGCTTCAGGCAAATGTGTGTGGTCTGTAAGAAATGTGTTATCAAGAGCTGGTAAACATTGTCTTGGCAGAAGCCCACACAAGAGAGCGCCAGGAATGATTAAACAAAAGAACAACATATGTGACATGATTTGCACAGTCAAATCACATTCCGCATGCTCCTGGGGCTCCAAAAAAATTCAACAGCAATTCTCAAATTAGCCATCTGCCTCTCTGTTTTCAGTTACTTCTAGCAAAAAAACGGGTGGTGGGGGGAGAACTAGTAATGATTCATGAATGCTCGCCTAGAAGTCCAAGTGTCTGTTCCTATGTTGTAGTTCTTTAGAGAACACACACCAGATGGCACTGACCTGGTGGGGAAAGGTTCAGTCCTTCACTACACTGGAGTCTCATATCGGCTCATGGCGCAATATAATACTCCATAGACAAAGCCAATATCTAACACTACTGTTCCACAGTTCCTTATCTGTGCACTGTGACACTGTCTGGTAAAACAGAGGGTGGAATTAAGATCCCATGAGTATTCCAGGGGCTCTGAAGATGAGAAATGGTGGCATTTAGGAAGCGTTTAGTGCTGTTGACCTAGCATAGTAACTATTAATTGGCGGTGAACTTTGGCAATAATGTTACAAAAATAGAAGTAACAAGCTAATTTTATTTGGTTTAGAAAGAAAAGTGTATATAATGAAAAATTTGCACATGTTAATTTTTAAATATCATTTGTAAATTTTTAATCAATATAAATAAATATCACAAGTGGCATTTATCAAGGAAGTACATTACTGAAAATATGCATTATGTGGAAGTCAGGTAATCCTAGTATCTTCTATGGTAACAAGGGAGCTAGGGCTGTAGCAGATCATTGGTTCAGTACTTGGTCTGTGGATCCCGAGGTCCTAAGATTGATCCTTCAGCCTTGCAAAGGGGAAGGAAGACAAAACAACCCAGAAGACAGTACCCTGTGCTCATATGTCTCCCATTCATTGTGAAGTTTTGTTTGTTTTTATTTTGTTCTTAAATGATAGAATGGTTTGCATGTAAAATTAGAGTGAATGATACATTGAGCAAAAACCAAGACCACCACTGACTTTCTTGTTTTACAGTTTTCTAGAGTATTTTAAATCCAACTATAGTTGTCAGGTAATTTTGTGTATTTTAATATCACTCTTCACAAAATACAGAGATTTCTTCACATAGTTTCACTGCCATTATGATGGAATCATTTTGATAGATTTTTTAAAATTTATTTTTAGTTACAATTTATTCACTTAGTATACCAGCTGTAGCCCCCATCCTCATACCTCCCAATCCCACCCTTCCTCTCTTATCTCCTCCCACGCCCCTCCCCCAGTCCACTGATAGGGGAGGTCCTCCTCCCCTTCTGTCTGACCCTAGCCTGTCAGGTCTCAACAGAACTGGCTGCATTGTCTTCCTTTGTGGCCTGGTAAGGCTGCCCCGCCCCCCTCAAGGGGAGGTAATCAAAGAGCCAGCCACTGAGTTCATGTCAGAGACAGCCCCCTGCTCCACTTACTAGGGAACCCACTTGGAGACTGAGCTGCCATGGGCTACATCTGAGCAGGGGTTCTAGGTTATCTCCATGCATGGTCCTTGGTTGGAGTATCGGTCTCAGAAAAGACCCCTGGGTCCAGATATTTTTATTCTGTTGCTCTCCTTGTGGAGCTCCTGTCCTGTCCCCTTAAGTTGATTGTTAAAGTCTCTCTTCCTCCTCTTTCCTCTCCATGTCTATGTATAGACTTACATATTTATATTACCTAAAGTGTGTGTGGACATTTTTAATATGAAAAACAAACTTTAAATGACTTCATAACTGTCTTGACTCCAATAATGAATAGAAATTAATCACAGAATCTTGGGGAGAGGTGTGCTTGAACACTGCAAAATAAGAATGCCCTTTTCTAGGCAGGCCTCTTATCTGGCCTGTTCTCCTTGGCATTAGATTAAAGACAAACGCTGCTGACCAAGGAACAGGAACAGAACTTGGCTGCTGAGTAGTAGGGGAGGCCTCATGACCACAGACAGGTTCCTTTATTTACTACTTCAGCTTATGGTTTATATTGCTAAAAATGGGTTGTCATCATGTCACACTGCTCTGTCTTCCTGATTCTTTCATAATGTACCTTCACACAGTGTTTTGTATAACTCACTCAGTTTATTGCAAATAGCTAAAGCTTAACAAAGTTAGCACAGTCAAAGCACTGGACATCTATGTTTAAGTCGGTTTCTGTTGGCCTGAATACAACTTAGGTATTTATTAACCTCAGTCATCAAACATTTATTGTTAGCAAGTCTTCTTTTTCATAAATGAGTTGCATATTCAGTATGCTGTAGCAGATCTATTTTTTAAACAAGAGTTGAATCCAGATTATATACAATCATGTAGCAAATTAAGATTACCTGCGTGTGTGTGTGTGTGTGTGTGTGTATTTAAACTGTCAACCCTCTTTATTACAATTTTAAGCTAACTTTGTAATAGATTTTACTGATTGTTTTTAAACTACACCCAGTAAACTTACAAATATTGAGATACCAAAAATTTACATAATGGTCTTAAGAGATTTTTTTTTTTGAAAGTAGAGAGCAAAGAAGCCTTCGAGATAGATTTTTAAGACTGGAGAGCAGACAAAGGAAAAAAAATCTTTTTGGTGGTGGTAGCACAAGTCCTTACTCCCAGTACTTGGGAGGCAGAGACAGGTGGATCTCTGAGTTCAAGGTTCTCTACAGAGTAAGTTCCAGGATAGCTAGGGCTACACAGAGAAACCCTGCCTCATAAGTAAGTAGATAGATAGATAGATAGATAGATAGATAGATAGATAGATAGATAGATAAAACAAAAAGGTGGAGAGCAGAGAACATTTAAAGATAAGAGATTTGGGGAATCGTTTGTATGTATGTGTGCAATGGCAGAACTTTTTAAAAATCTGAGAGAATTTAGAAATTGAGTGTACCTATTTCGGGCCATTGAACTGTACTGGGGTCAAGCTATTTACAGTAAGACAGAGAGGCTTTAATGAAATCTTTAAGTCCAAGGAGGAAAGAGATTAGAGAAGGCAGGTGAATGAAGCTCTAAAAGGGAATCAAAGACTGGTGGGAAGAGAGCCAGGATCAGAGCAAAGACTGACTAGAAAGACTTAGCGATAAGAGTCACAAACACCTATCCAGAGAATTCCAGCAGAGGGGGAAGGTTGCCTTAGGGGAGAGATGTTCTGAATCACAGCGGAGAATCATACCACAGACTCCAGTGAACCAATGAGAGACATAGCCTTTCCACGTGATGGGTGCCCAGGAGGTCATAGGCAGCTCCAGGAGCAGAGAGACTCACTACAGGAGCTGAGGACACTTAGCGAGTAGTCAGGGAGAAATACACAATTAGAGCAGGTAGAGGAGAAGCAGCTGAGGAGACAAACTCTAAGATCGGGAGTTGAGTAAGGTAGGTAGGAGATGCATTTCAGGCTTTCAGTGCCAGATATGTGCAAGGGTCCAGTGAAGAAATTACCAACATGAGCACTCCACAATATAGGAAGGTTTCTACTGTAGATGGGGGGGGGGGGGGGGGGGCCACGAGGGGGAGCATAGAGGGGCGGCTGGGGGGGGGGGGGAGGGGGGGTGGAGGGGGGGGAGTGAGTGAATGAAGGGGGGGGGGGGGAAGCAGCCAGAGGCATCTGCAAGAGTCCAGAGCAGAGAAAGGAGTAGACTGGACATGGCCAGAGCTAAGAATATGGAGTGGGGAACTGTGAAAAAAATAGGAGAAAGAAAATAAGAGCAAGTGGGAGAAGGGAAACAATGGGAATAGTTGGGGGCAGGGGGAAATTTGCCATTATAGGGAGAATAAATGGGCATCTGGGAGGAAGGAAGCCTGGGGAAGTAAGAAGGGCTAGGATACTAGTGTGAACTCTGAAATGTGTAACAGGTACTTGGGACACTGAGGCAGCCTGGAGGCCAGCATGGGCTTTGATATGTAACCACAGGTAGTCATATGTCCCTTCTACAAGAAGTTAAAAAAAAAAAAAAAAAGACTCCTTTTGGCAAGTGGGAACACAGTTTTGTGAGTTCCCGAGGAATTCTGGCTTTTATCTAAGTGCCAGGAATCCTATAATGCAGTTTTTCTGGGTCTCGACTCAGCTTTGGACAGATCAGTGCATCTGCCTTTTCAGGGGAGGATGGAGTACCCTTTGGACCTGACAGGAGGGTGATAATTAGTTGTCAGGGGAGAAGGAAAAGGAGAAAGAAAAAAGACAAAAGGACCCAGTGCTGATATCTGCTTGATGGAACCTTTTGCCCCCACCAGTTCTGCCACAGAAAGAGATGACTGGCTGGAGGCCATATCCAGCTCAATAGAAGAGTATGCCAAGAAAAGAGTCACCTTCTGCCCCAGCAGGAGTCTGGATGAGGTATTGTTGCCTTCTCTCTATCTGGGCTTGCTTTCTGTTTTTGGTTTGTTTGTTTGTTTGTTTACTTTTTATTTGACTGTGAAGAGTTCACAGGGGGTTAGAAAAAGAACCTGTCTTTCAGAGATGGATTAGAGGGATGTGTACTCTTACTTTCTACTAGTTATAAAACTTAAATGGAGGAAGTTTTACTGACGTGTGTGCGTGTCTCTGTGTGTGTATGGGGAGGGTGTGTGTGTGCTGTAGGGATTGAACTCAGGGCTTACTCACGCTAAGCACGTGTTGTACTGCTAGCTCCATCCCCAGCTTTCACGGTAGATCTGATGAAAAGACCTGATTCTATCACAGACAGTGTGCAAGGTCATCAGTCATTCTTCCTCCACAGGACTCAGAAAAGAAAGAGGAAGTGAGTCCTCTCGGGTCAAAGGCTCCCATCTGGATCCCTGACACCAGGGCCACCATGTGTATGATCTGCACCAGTGAATTCACCCTGACCTGGAGAAGACACCACTGCAGGGCCTGTGGAAAGGTCAGCGGGGCAGCATCTGTCCTTGCGGTGATTTTTATGTCTCCAGGCCATGGTCAGTGAGGAAATAGTTTCTTCAGTCATTGTAGTATGCAAAACAACAACAATAGAAACAGTAGTAGTGAAAACACAAATGTCGTCTTATCCACATATTTGGGGTTGGCCTAGGGAGTTTGTTAAAGGCTCCCCATCCTCTGCCCTCCTCCCAATTATGGTCCTAGTGCAGTCATAGAGATCTTATATTCAAAAATGAAAACTAAGCCAGGCATGGTATTGTAGCACTCAGAAGGCTGAATGAAGCAGGAGGATCTCAGTAAGTTCAAGGCCAACCTTTTTGTCTTAAACAAACAAACCAAAAAACCCAATTCCAGTTTATTTATATTATAGTTTAGGGTTTTTTTGTTTTTGTTTTGTTTTGTTTTTAGCCATCTTTGTGTAGACAAGATCAGTGGGAAGGTTTCTATGTGGCTTGGACTGGCCTGGAGCTCACTATGTAAACTAGGTTGGCCTTGAACCAACAGACCTGCCCCTTCCTCCTGGATTCTGGGATTAAAAGTATGTGCAATGACTTTTGGCCCAATAAATGAACTTAAAAAGAGAAACTATTTACTTTGGCTTACACTTTTGGACTTAAGCTCAAGATCAATTGGCCTGTAGTGTTGGGGTTAAAGCATCACGTCATGGTGGGG